ACCTTTATTCAACAAAATCTATTACAATTAGAAAAGCTCTTAAGAGAATCTTAAATCTGAGAATTTACAAAATAAACTCTTATATCTGAGAATTTAAAAAAAAACTCTGATTACACCCTAAAATCCTAACGTTTAAATAGAGGAAAAAATGGGAGGGTTTATAATAAAAATAGCAAAATTTTACAAAGTACAATGAATAATGGGAAGAATTTGAAAGAAGTAGGCGTATTTGATTACGCATGATTAAAAATAAAAATTTTTAAAAATAAAAATATTTCAACAAAAACGGTAAGGGACAAAAGGGTCAAAAAAATACAAGTCGCATTTCGCAACAGGCAGAAATTTACTTAAGACCGATTTAATAACTATTGAAATTTATCCATAACTACTATGTTTAAAATATTTTACTATTCAAGATGAGTAAATAATTCAATATCACATCTGTTCAGCGTTTAAATGTGGTTTTTATGATGTTGATTTTATGATATTGGGTGTAACTTTAGCATAAAACTCTTCCCTGCTTCTTTAGCCTTTGAAATTTTTCTGATTCGATTTCTCTTCATTTCTCTTCATTGCGAATACTTTCATGATGTAAGTTCATGCTGGAATTCGCGCATAGAAAGAGAAATTTTAAAATAAATTGCAAAATTGTGTTTTGTATTTTCGGCAAAATAAAAGAAAAAAAATAGATTATTATTTTGTGTTTTAATTTTATTTTTTACCCTTTAAGCAAAGTCCAAATATCTTTACACTCGATGTTTTTTTAAAGAATCATATGTCGTTTTATTTATTTCATAATAATTTTTAAAGTGTGTTTTGATTTTCGGTAAAATAAAAAAAATTAGCAAATTGTTTATTTTTCTTTTAATTTTACCCTTGCCCTTTAAAGCATTAAATATTAGCTTTGAATTTAAATAATAGACAATTTGATCAAAAATAAAAGATAAATAATTTTTAAAATTAATTTTAATTTCTTTAAAAATTGCGAAAAAACTAAATGAATGTTGGAATTTGTTTTCGGTTATAGGTTCTCGTTTCGACTCCTATTTTTTCTTTCTCAAATGTTTCAAAATGATCAAATTTCTAATTTTCCTTACTTTATATAGGCAAATGTTCCAAAATAATAACTATTTTCAAGATTTAAATAATAATCCCGAACCGGATTATTCTTAACGGAAGGATAACAAATCAAACAACAAAAATAGAAATAATTTTTTGTTTTGCAAACATTATTTTAATTTTTTTAAAAATTATAGTTAAGTAAATTAATTATTTCTATAATTTGTTTATCAATATGTTTAATCAATTTAATTTTGCCCTTTTTTTTAATTTTAAGTCAATAACGCTTTTTCTCTATTAATGTATATAGCCTCTCTGTTAACGACTATCTTTTTTTTCTTACCAAATCTATCGATAACACGTCTTTTATCCCCTCAACAGGTGATCACCCAACTGATCAACGTAAATAAATTTTTATGTTTAAATTTTAAAAAATTCGTTTTTCCAACTTATGCCATTAATAAGTCCAACTTATCATAACATTATGAAAGAGAGTGAAAATTTAACAAATAGCTATACGTTTTATGCTTTTTATCACTCAAAGCTGTAGTAGGAGACAGGATTTGTCAAGTGTCAAATTAAAACTGCCATCATTCTGTGTATGCTGGAGATTACGTCTGTTACCGAATTTTTATTTAAAAACTTGGGGATGGTTGGCATTTTCTGACATAGAGGATATACTAAAATTAATTACAAAAAATTCAGTTAAAGTACACAAATCCGCTTTACACTAAAATGCCTTAACCCGCTTTATGTTTTATTTTATTATAATAATTTACAACATTTGTTTTGTTGATTTATTTTAATGTTGTATAGGAATCTTCTATTTATAAATTAGATTTTTCAATAAATAACTACTCCCATAATTTTTTAAATTTTTTTTAATTATAGTCAAGTAAATCAAAACTTTCTAAACATGTTTATGACATGTGTTTATCAATATGTTTAATCAATTTAATTTTGCCTTTTTTTAAATTTTAAGTCAATAAAGCTTTTCTCTATTAATGTATATAGCCTCTCTGTTAACGACAATCTTTATTTCTTACCAAGGCTATCGATAACATCTCTTTTATCCTCTCAACATTACCCAACTGATCAACGTAAATAAATTTTTATGTTTTAATTACAAAGATTTGTTTTTCCGAAAAACTTTATTCGTAAATAAATTTTTAAAATGGGGGGATTGATCCTGAGAGCTAACTGCATCAACTACCCAACTTCCATCATATTGTTTTGTAGTCTGTGAAGAATCTTCACCGGCCTTTCGAAATAAAAATTTTTTCATTTTATTTTGAAGTGAGGGATTCAATTTATAATTAAATAAATAAATATAACTTTTTACGCCATTATGAAAGAGAGATATTTAGAATTTAATCCCTCACTACAATTCCAATTTAGAATGAATCCCTTCAGGTTAGCAGTCCAAGATATCTAGCGATTTTACATTACGGCGATTAAAACATCCTTTCTTAATGTTAATCAACATTGGGAATCCAAGATTACAGCAATATATACTTGGTGAATTAGCATTGGGTTGTTTCTTTGTGATTTGAGAATAATTTCTAAAAAAATCTTTTTCTTTGGACGAAGTTTTGTCGGTCGAAGTTAGGGCCAGACGAAGTTTTGGCCGGACAAGTTTTGGTAATTTGGAGTTTTGTCGGTTGAAGTTTTGTCTGGACTGAGTTTTGTCATTAGAAGTTCTGCTCCTCATCCAAAGTAGAAACAATTTTTTGTTTTGCCAAACATTATTTTAAATTTTTTTAAAAATTATAGTCAAATAAACAATTATTTCTAAACATGTATTTACGTGTTTAATCAATTTAATTTTGCCCTTTTATTTAATTTTAAGTCAATAAAGCTTTTCTCTATTAATGTATATGAGATTAGCCTCTCTGTTAGCAACTATCTTTATTTCTTACCAAAGCTATCGATAACACGTCTTTTATCCCCTCTACAGGGTGATCACCCAACTGATCAACGTAAATACTTTTTTATGTTTTAATTACAAAGATTCGTTTTTCCGAAAAACTTTACTCATAAATAAATATTTAAAATGGGGGGATTGATCCTGAGAGCTAAGCGATAAATTTTTTGCTAACTACATCAACTTTCCAACTTATTGTTGTCTAGTCTGTGAAGAATCTTCACCGGCCTTTCGAAATAAAAATTTTTCCGTTTAATTTTTAAGTGAGGGATTCAATTTAGAATTGAATAAATAGAACTTATTATGTCAATATGAAAGAGAGATATTTAGAATTGAATCCCTCATTAGAATCCTAATTTAGAATGAATCCCTTAAAGTTAGCGGTCCGAGATATTCAGCGATTTTACATTACAGCGATTAAAACATCCTTTATTGAGGTTAATCAACATTGTGAAATCCAAAATAATAGCCAAATATTTATTTAAATTTTATTTAAAGGTGATATTTTGTCTTGCTTTTTATGGCAGTCGAATTTTAGAGGGGCGTAAAGGGAAGAGAAGAGACGATGTTTAGGGGAGATATTATTTCATACATATACGTGCCTGCTCTATTTAAATACAAGTAAATTAGTAATTTACATTTATTTTTATTTTTTTTTAATATTTTAATTTCACTTTTTTATAACTCTCTACATTTAATTATTTAAAATATCCCCTTATGAAAGAGATCTTCTCTAAAAAATTCTCTTAGGAAAGAGACACTCTTTTAAAGAGACATTCTTTTGGCTTTTTTTTTGAAAGTATTGAAAAAAATAGCTGGTATTGTTTTAGAAAATTTAAAGAAGTCGTTCACTCTCTACTTAGAATATACTTACTGAAAAGTGGAAAATAATTAAATTCTGTAAATTTCTTTTAAATTTATATTAGGAAAAATGGTCAAACTTTGCTGGTCGCCTTATTTTTTCTTTCACTCTATTATTAGAGTTCTGTGTTGAATTTTGAGATAAGTCCATAATATAGACTCTGCTTCATAAAATAATTCTTAACCTATGGTATTTTTGGGGGTTTTTGCTGCTTCGGAGGATGCCAGGCATGCCCATTGCAGCGATGATAGGAATAGGTCTATGTTACTAGTGCAGAACCCAGCGACCGTTGACTGCCAATGAGGGATTTAACGGTATACAACATCAATATCGGAATCACTCATTTTCTTAAAATTAAGTTGCTAAACATTTACTAAAATGAAAAGTAGAAAAATGAAAAGTGATGCACTGACACTAGATGTTACGACCCCGGTTACGTAGAGGAAGCTAACAGAAACGTTTATTGCACAAAGAAATACAAAGCAGGCGAAGGTTGGGGTAGGAAGAAGAACTAAAACTGAGACCGAGAACTAACTATTGGCTGGGCTTTTATACTAAACACTTTAAGGGCTGACGCCCATACACAACACCTCCCCCCTTGAAAAAAAGGTTCGGCTTCACTTAAAGCCGAAGCTTTACAATACACTAACACTTTCCAGCCAAACAAAACAAACAAAAATACATAAAAATTTTGGGGGAATAAGGACAATGGGAACAAAAATACATACAACATTACAACAAAAAATACAACAACAATATTATCACAAAAAATTTTATTTTACACGTCTACGTCTCCATTTGCTTATCCTCTTCATCGTCTTTCATCTTTGAGTTGTTCCCACTTGTCTCACTAATTTCACTGGATAATTTATAGCCTCTTCAGCATACTTTTTTACACTTTCCTTAGTAAGCACTAATTTTTGAGGCTGTCTAATACTTTCTCTCAAACCATATTTATGTGGTTTATCAACTTTTTCCAATCCACTATCACTTACACTTTCACTTTTCCACAAATTATCACAATCTTCACTTAAACTTCTATTTCTAATTTGATTTTCGTGCCGAGTTACAATGGCATTCAATACTGGCGAGTATATCTTATAGATAACTCCCCTTTTACTTTCCACTTCACCATTCAACCAATTGATTTTACCATCTTTTCGGTAATTTAAGAAATACACTAATTTACCGATTTTTCGGTTTTTTACTCCATGGTGTTTGTCAAACCAACTTTTCATTTTCACTTGTTGAGGTGTTTTATTTTTATTTTCTTGGAAGATCACTTTTTTGGGTATTAACCTCGCTAAATTCAATCGCAATTTTCTTCCAAGAAACACTTCACTAGGAGATTTCCCTTCCAATGATTCATGAGGACTGGCTCTATAAAACAATAACACTTCACTGAGCCAATTCTTCTTATTACAATTTTTTGTCATCATTCTTTTAAAATAATCCACAAATCTTTCCACTTGCCCATTGGATTGTGGATGATATGGGGCACTAAATACTTGACTAATCCCCTTATTTTGACAATATACTTTAAACTCATTTGAACGGAATGGACTTCCATTATCAGACACTATTGTTTCTGGGTACCCGTAATGGGTTCCCAACCACTCAAAACACTTTATAACGTCTTTTGCTGAGGTTGTCATGTTTTCAAACACTTCAGGCCACTTTGAGTGCGCATCAATTACAATAAAATACACTTTTCCGTCTTTACACGGCCCAGCAAAATCAATATGCACTCTTTCCCAATTTCTGTTTGTAATTGACCATGGTCGCAATTCACTTTTAATTGGTCTTTTTGCCGCTGATTGGCACATTTTACAATTTGCGACCCAATCTTCAATATCTCTACCAATGTTTGGCCAATACATATACTCCCGGGCGACTCCTTTCATTTTTGCACTTCCCGGATGTGTTTCATGTAATACTTTCAATACACTTTTCCTCAAAGTTTTTGGGATCACTATTTTTCCATTACACATTATACACTCATCAATCACTTCCAATTCTTGTCTTCTGTTTGACCAAATACTTAATGCTGGATCACTCACTACTTTTGGCCACCCATTTTTAATAAATTGTTTAATCCTGTTTAACTCACTTTCACTTTCTGTCCCACTCTTCACTTGTTCGGCACTTACTGGCACTTCATCCAGCATTATGTTTAATACATATTTAATTGACTCTTCCACTAATAATGAGTTCTCATCACTACAATCTTCATTACTACGATTTTCACTTTTTGAAACTAATGCAATCACTTTATCTTCCGATTCACTTTTTTCACTTATCAATCTGGACAATGTGTCAGCCATACCCATTTGGTTGGTACTTACAAATTCGATTTTAAAATCGTAATTTGTCAATAATAATGCCCATCTTTGTAATCTTGATGCAGAGAACACTTTGATTCCTTTATTCTTGCCGAAAATGGCCAATAACGGTTTATGATCCGTTCTCAATATGAACTTTCGGCCGAATAGCATTTTATGAAACTTTTGCACTGCAAACACTAATGCTAGGCCCTCTTTTTCAATTTGACTATAATTTTTCTCTGCATCATTCAACGACTTACTCGCGTATTCAATCACTTTTTCTTTTCCATCTGGAAATTTATGTGATATCACTGCACCCACTCCATAATTTGATGCATCAGCTGTCACTATTAACTCCAATTCTGGATCGAAATGCGTTAGCATTAAATCAGAATTTAGCACTTTTTTGACACTTTGAAAGGCCTTTTCCTGATCTTGCCCCCACTCCCACTTCACTTCTTTTTTAAGCAATTTATCCAATGGCCCTCTATATTTATGCATTTCACTAACAAACCGCCCATAATTAATTGTACCCATAAAAGATTTCAATTCTTTAACATCTCTTGGACGTGTCAATTCACTAATTTTCTTTTTCTTTTCAGGGTCGGGCTCAATTCCACTTTTGGATACAATATGGCCTAAGAACTTCAATTTTTCTTTGAAGAAATTGCACTTTTCTAACTGGATTTTTAATCCCCACTTTTCAATTCGATCAAATATTTCAAACAATTGCACTTTATGATCTTCAATATTTTTAGACACTATTATTAAATCATCTAAATATGCAAACACTCCAGGAATTCCACTTATCAATTTATCCATCAATCTCTGAAATATTCCTGGTGCTGATTTCACTCCAAACGGCAATCTTTGCACTTCAAACAATCCTTTATGTGTATTAATACACGCCACTTTTTTAGATTGCTCGTCTAACTCAATTTGTAAATAGGCATCTCTAAGATCCAATTGCGAAAACACTTTACTTCCATGGATCTCAGCCCATATTTCACTAGGCTTTGGCAAAGGGTGCCTATCCAATTCAATTGCATTATTCAACCCCGTTGAATAATCCATACACACTCTTGTTTTGCCGTTTGCCTTTTTAATTGCTAAAATAGGCGCTGCCCAATTAGCAAATTCAATTGGCTTAATAGCTCCAATTTCACTCAATCTGTTTAACTCTTTTTCAATTGCGTCTTTAACGCCAATCGGTACTGGTCTAGCCCGTACAAATACTGGACTCACTCCTGGCTTCATATACAAATGAGACTTCATTTTTGTACAATGGCCTAAGCCTGGCTCAAACACTTTCTTAAACTGCACTGACAATTTGTTTACTATTTCACTAATTTTACTTTGTGCCTTTTCAATTTCTAACACTTTAATCGGCTCTTCACTCTTTTTAATACTAGACACTATTGGATATCCCAATTTATTCTCAACTTCAATTATCCATGGTAGGCCAAACAAATTCAATTTTTCACTTGTGACATGTGTCACCAATACTTGTTTACTATCGTCTACTTCGACACTCGCCAAAAAACTGCCCAACATACTAAACTCGTTTCCTGTGAAACTTCTACCCTTGCAGGGCACTCCAGTGAGCTTTGGGCTACCAATATTCTTCCATGTCACTTCACTTATACAACTGATTTGAGCCCCTGAATCCAAAATGAATTCCACTTCGTTTCCGTTCACTAACACTTTTTTTGTTAACCATTTAGGTTTCACACTCATACTCACATGGAGAATATCAACACTGTTCTTTACATTACACTCATGGTTTTCCCACCATGTTTTTACTTTACTAATCAGGGCCATTTTTCTTTATGTAGCTGTTGACGAATTTTCCTTTTTCGAAGTAGACGAGAATGGTTTGCGACCGCGCCAAATCTGTTACGACCCCGGTTACGTAGAGGAAGCTAACAGAAACGTTTATTGCACAAAGAAATACAAAGCAGGCGAAGGTTGGGGTAGGAAGAAGAACTAAAACTGAGACCGAGAACTAACTATTGGCTGGGCTTTTATACTAAACACTTTAAGGGCTGACGCCCATACACAACACTAGAGACCGGCGCGGGACGGGATACCGCGCGAGATTTTGCGAGATACCGCTCCCGCAATCCCGAACTTTTCTCGATTTGCGGGATTTTGCAGGAATGCGGATTACACATGGAACTGAACATGAATCTCTTCAAATATATGTCGAAATTTTTTATGTTATTATTGAATTCGAAATTCCGACGACCTCGGATTATTACAATTAATTTATATTATACTTTTTATATTCAGAGAATGTGGTTATTCTTTTTGTTTATGTTCCTCAATTCTCTTTTTACTTTTGTTTTTCCCTATTCGATTTTTGTAAAGATTTCATGGCGAGAAAATGGCGAAAGTAACCAAAATTATTACAAACGTTTGGCTAAAAAAGATTACAAACGGTTTAAATTGGAATTGACTGGCGATCACCTCGACAATCCAATTACTGGATTGACTGATATAAACGATACATTTCACTTTGATGGGCTAAATGAAGGCACTTTTAAATTACAGATAACAATTAATCGTCTTAATGAAGTTAGTGTAAGGGAGGGATTCTGCTAGTATTTAAAAATGTTTGGGCTAAGTTTAGCATCTATAAAATGTAGACAAATTTAGCAAAGTTCATCACATATCCTATAGAGATTTAAATAAATCTTTAAACAAAATCAAGTGAAGGGACTTTATTATATGCATTGTAAGGAAGAGAAAGAGAGAAAGATCCAGCTGGCTAGCATTTAAAACGCTGACTGCGGGAGTTTAAGATCTATTAAAGGTGAAGGTGAAAGCAGCGTCCCGGTAGCTCAGTTGGTAGAGCACCTGTACGTGGTGAGCCAGGAGGATAACTGCCAGGAGGTCGCAGGATCGAAGCCTGCCCGGGATTAAACTTTTACCTCGCTCTTACTGTATATTATGTTTGCTACGATTGGGGGCAAAACAAATTTATGTATATTTAATAATTTATTAAATTAAAAAATTCTTAAGGAATATATTGGCACTATAGATCAAATACTAGAAAATGATACAATAATTTACATCATTCCTCGCAAAGACAATACAAAATATATTAAATACATAAAAGTTGAAGGAGAAGAATACTTCTTCAACACAATGATTAATTTATTTAATAATCTTCGTGTTTTAATTTTTATTTGGTCTAGTACTCCTGAATCCATTCAAAAAATAAATAGTATAATGATTAAATGTAAAGACATGGATAATTCAAATTTTGTAGCCAATTTTAATGATAATGTAGAGGATGAGGAGGGAAACGGGCAATTTAAATCAACAAATTATATGAAAACTTTAATTTGCCCGAATGATGAATATACTTTAATGGTTGATTACAAGGTTAAGAGAAAACATAAAAATTTATATCAACTCAAATTCAAATCCGCTAATCTCCTAATTAATCTTCACAAATACGGTGATGTCGTTAAGAGCAATTCATAAATTTCATAAAATGAAATTCCTCTTATAGAAAATAATTTTCCTTAAGTAGGCATTATACGAATTTAGGGAGATGTAAAAGGCCTTTTTTAAACAATCCTATATTAAAAATTTAGATAGAACTTTCGGAAACAACTTATCATAAAACAGCAATCAAGTATAATGGGGATATCTATTCGCATCATTCAACAGACCTTTGGCTTTGTACAAAATATGGTGTTAGAGGTACTAAGTGTAGAGCGTCAATTCATGTTGATCCAGATTACAACATACCGGATAGTTATTTAACTGTCGAACACAAACATCCACCTCAATATGACAAAAATTATAAAATTGTTAGGATTTATTTATAAAATTATAATACCCTTCCACTTTTTATTTTCATTAATAGGGTTGTCGGTTTCGCCAGCTTCATCGGTTAACCGAAACCGAACCGACAAACAGAACCGAAATTTTCGGTTAACCGAAACCGAACCGAAGCTTTCGGTTAACCGAAGCTTTCGGTTAACCGAAGCTAAACCGAAAAACCGAATCTTCGGTTTTTCGGTTCGGTTCGGTTTGAAACCGACAACCCTATTCCTGAAACAAGTAATGGATATAGGTTAACTTTAATAAGGCTTAGGGTTTTGGCGTCTATCGTACTTTAAAAGTTATTGTGTGTTTTCATCCAATTAAAGATTAGTTTATTTTGATTAGCTATACACTGGGGTGCAAAAGTTTATCTATACTGACTGAAAATTTCAAAAAAACAGTATATCTCGTGAAGGATTCGTTTAGATGGATTATTTTTATTATTATTAAGTGAAAAGTGCTCTTTTTAATAAACTATAATTTAAACACCCCCCCTTCCGTCTCTATTAAAAATTTAATTAAATAATTGAGCTTTTGTTTTCAATAGCCGTTGAATTGTACATATTTTAATAAAATAAATTTTCTTTAATGCATAAATTAAGCAAAATATAAATTGCCCACCAGCAATTCATTCAAATAATATGATAAATGCTTACCAAATTGATTTTGAAAATCCGACGACAGAACCTACTTGTGGATTAATTACTGATGAACAAACAATTGTTCGCAATTATGTATATGTAATGAATAAGTATCAAATAAATGTGGATCAGGAAATGAAAGGAATTTTTGATGAAGAGAATGCAGTAGCTATTCTTGAAGGTATAAATATACCGTATTATCTCTAATAAAATGGCGGCCAATTTATTTTTCAAACACCCTCCAGAGGCCCATTCTATTATAGTGGGCCATTCAAATGAAAGGGGCCATTATATTTTTCGATCATCCTCCATGGGTCTGATCGAAAAATAAAACGGTCTCTTAGAAGGGGCCATTCAAATTAGACGGTCATTCTATTAGTGATAATACGGTATTAGATAATTTTTGGCGAGAAATTATAGTATTTTTATAATATTTTACATTCTCATAGATTGGATAGTACCACAACGCTCGAAAAAGGGTAAAGGAAAGAAAGTGAAATCTTTATCTTCAATTTTACACGGAGGTTGCTATTGTTTTTGTTTTGTCTGCTATTGCAGAAAG